GCTGAGGTCAAGTTTGAACCTTGATGCCAAAATTTAGTCCAAGGTTGAATTTGAACCTTGGTGCGAATTACCTTATCTTATGCTAGGGTCGAGTTCGAACCTTAGTACGAAATCCAAAGTCAAGGTCAAATTCAAACCTCAGTACGAATTACTCTATCTCAAACCGAGGTCGAATTCAAACCCTGGTGCAAATCACTTTAAACTAAGCCAAGTTTAAACGTGTTTTCAAACCACAAAAAATGGGCGAAAACTAAGCCTAAAACACGAGTGCAAAGCCAAAGGTAAAAATAGAACCATCAAAGGCGCAAGACAAAAACTTAGGAAAATAATATATACACAACAAAGTTTGCGAGTTCAATACATGAATCCAAAGGAAAATAAGAAAAATAAACTAAGCTATTACAAAGCCCAGCGGCCTAGGCAGAGGCATTATCACTCGAGCTGTCCGGGAGGTCATCTTCCTTTACCAGTCGCCCGAAGCGCACCTTCTTCTCCACATGCATGGGTGAGAGGTCAACCCCAGGAGCCAGCAACCTCGCCTGACGAGCTGCCTTGACAAAGCCCCTCTTATGCTCCAGTAGGACAGCTCGCTCGGTCTCAATAAGCTTCCCCTCCAACTCCCCCTTAGCCGTGGCCAGCTTGTCAAGGTTCGCCCTCAGAGCGACGGCCTCCTCCTCCTTGCCACTAAGAAGCACCTCATCATAGAGACGCCTCTCAGTAGCTTCCCCCAGTTCGGCCTTCAGTGCCGAGACCTCGTCTTCAAGAGAGCGCACCCGATTCTGAGAGAAGGTGGAGAGCTCTTGAAGTTCGCCAACTTGAGCGGCGTAGACTTCATTAGCCCTCAAGGCGATCTCCAAATATTTCTGAACCCTTGCAAGATCCCTCCTCGTCGCTTGAAGCTCAGCCTCATTTTGCCTCTTGGCCTCACCGAGAGCGGCTCCTAAGGCCTTATTCTCCTCCTCCAAAGGCTGGACCTGACTTTTCTCTTTCTTGAGGTCCCCCTGCAGCTTTAGCCACTTGCGCTTCCAGTGATCCACAATGGCAAGCGACCGCTGCATGAAGACCTCAGCAGAATCAAGGCTCTCTACCGGCTCAACCTTCTCAATCATCGCCTTATCGGCCGAACGGAGCGAGCCCTTCGGGTAGAAGGTCTCAACGGTCACCCTCGAGCTCCACAATAAGTCTACATCCGACGACGCGCTCACGTGGTCTAGCCTTGTCAAAGGGCACTCCTTGTTGAAGCGTTGGGCAATGTACTAACGTTTGGGAGCCCCTGCCGGAGGAGGAGGCGGCGGCGTAGTAGCTGCAGGAGTAGGCGATGGAGCCTCAAAGCTCGACTCCCCTACGCAAACCCCAGCAGAAGTTGAGGCAGGCGCCTCCTGCACAATAGTGGGGGCATTTAGCCCTGGCGCTTCCGAGCTCGACCCCACTCAGACCTCAGCGGCAGATGGCTCAGGCCCCACCTACACACAACACAAAATAAGATTTTCATAAGTCACGCAACAACAAAAAAAAGAGAGAAGAAGGAAACAGTAAGCAACAAAAAATATACAGACCTGCGCCTCACGAGGAACCTCCTCCGCGGCAGCTCGGGGTGATCCCTCAGGAGGAGGGCTTCTTGTCAGGTCGACAGGGCCAGCATCAGCGGCCTTGGAGGTCACCTCTTCGACATCTCGAGGGGCAGAGGTCCCCCCGACCTCCTGTTCCCTCCTCTTCCTTTTCCTGCGAGCCACTAGGGGGCGACCTCCTCCTCTTGAGGCTCGGGGACCTCAATCTCGGCAACATTATACCGAGACTTCAGCTCGCGCCACTTGCTTTTTCTCATTATGCCTACAAGTATAAGAGTCAAATACATCAGAAAAAGAAAATTTTACAAACCCTGACAGCTTAAAATGACGAGGTACTCACTCTCTAGACCCCTCTCCTTGTACGCCGAGTTAGCAAGCGACAATACGAGCTTGAAATCCAACGGACGAGGAAGCGCGGCCAGGTTGGTGATGGCAGTAGTATCCGACTCTGCCAGCTGGAGACCGGACAACCCGTTGAACTTGACCGGGTCCTGCTACCAGTAGAGGGGAAACCTCGGCAAACCACCGAAGTGGAATACCTCATCTTTCAGTGGGTCAACCTCCTTGGGCAGAACCCGGAAGAACTCTTGTTTGAAGCTCTTATAAGACTAGGAATAAAGGGAAAATAGCCCCCCAACCTTACTCCCATTCAAAGAAACCCAACCATAGGGAGGTACGCCCAATTTCAGTTGATAGAAGTGAAGGAAAACAGGTAGAGACAACCCAATCCCTAGGGTCGAGAACAGGACTTGAAAAGCCTTCAAAAAACCCCAACTATTGGGGTGTAACTGGCAAGAAGCCGAGTTAACAAAATTTAAAAAATCGCATTCAAATTGGGAAAAGGGAAGGCACACGCCTAAATCCCTAAAAAAGCACTGGTACATATAGAAAAAGGGAGGATTAGAGGTACCCCCCATGTATACACGCTCCCCGGGCTGACAGGGTTCGAGCCGGATGAGCTTAGAGATGGACGGTTGACAGATTCTGTGCGATCTCCAATTCGCATTGATCTCCAGAAATGACGTGAAGACGCTCTGGAACTCTCTAACGTCGCCCCTGACCCACTCGTAGCCAGAGATGACGGGGAAAGGTTCCCTAGGGTGGTTCCCACCCTTTTTCTTTTCGACGGCCACCGCCTTGCCGCGCGTCTTGCCTTTACCCTTGGCCGGTGCAGAAGATGCGACACCACTATCTCCAGTCATCAAGACGATGAAACAACTCGAAGAAGAAGAGCGAGAGAGAAAACGACAAAAAGGAGATACCTGGTACTCCTCTGACAGCGACAGAACGGTGGCGAGGGACGAAGACCTGGTTGCCAGAAACGGCGACGACGGAGGAGAACAAGGATGGGGAAAGAAGACTAAGAGTGAGCAGAGGAGGTCGAAGCGTCGAGAGCAAGCTAAGAAAGAAAAGAAATGACAAGAGTAAAGTGAAGAGGAGAAGGTGCGAGAGAAAGAGAAAAAGGACTTCCCAAAATTCAAACTGGGCGTGACACGTGGAGAGATGGGGGACATGACTGACGACACATTAATGAGGCCCCATTATGATGAAGCGCGACCATCATTACATAACCGTCACCCCCATTAACACGTCGCCCACGCGTTTCAGAACACGAAGTGACGGTTATGACACATGGCATCATGACAGATAGGCGTACGCGAAGAGTCACGACCCCTTGTCGAGCTCGGTATCAACTCCTCGACCCTCGATCTTCGGAGCTCGGGGGCTACTGTACTATCCATGTCGCTAAGCCGAGCTCAAGCTCGGCAACACAGCGCGGATTGACCTCGGACACGCGCTAGGCGACGTTGGCCAAGACAAGGCCCGCTATCCAAATAAGTCATAACTGATCTCGGGCTCAAGGCCCAACGAAACCCTAATTCACACAAAGGTACGTGCATTACTTATATGAAACCCATACACTCACAAACACTAACTTTAACATCGGGGTCTCTTTTGCGGTACCACCCCCATCTTGGAACAGCGAACATACCCAGTAAAAGAGGCTCGCTGATCTTACCTAGCAGATCATCTCTACAACCGATCTTCGGTAAGAACACTAATCATTAAGCTTTATTATATTTTTGTGGTAATTATACATACAAAGTTTAAATAATTTAAAATTTTCTAAATATATAATCTAATAAAAAATTTACTTATTATATTATATAAAAATAATAGAGCATGAATATAGAATTAATCGGTGACAAATTTAGTATCATAACACTTTTAATAACTTTTTATATAAATTAAATTTTATTAATCTAATTACTAAATTGAATTATATTTTTGGATGATTATACATGTTAACTGGTGCTTAATCAATATTATCAGGTTTTAATTTAAATAAGTTTTGTATATATAATTTAAGAGAGATAAACTTATTCTCTAATAATTTTATTTGATTCGAGTATGATTGTTTTTAATAAAAGATATATATGATTTATAACATTAAATTATATATATAATATAAATGATTATTTTGTACAAGAATATGTTTAGGCATATTTTTTTAATTTGAGGATTTTGAGATATTCTTTTAATGACATATCTGATTTGATTTTTGTTATCATATTTTAATATTTTTTAAATAAATTATTAATAAATAAAAATAATGTTGTGTTATAATATAAATTATTTATCATAAATTTAAAATATAATTTATATACTTAAAATATTTATTTATTTCAATTTTAAATATAATTTATATATTTAAATCAACTCTTATATATTAAATATAAATATTAAATAGAAAAAATTGTCTTATGCAAAAATACTTTTAGAATTATTATTCGAGAGTGATTTTAGATTTATTTTTTTTAATTTTTAATCAATTTAATTTTTTTATTTATTATATTTATTTATAAATTAAAATATTATTTTTTTAAAATAAATTATCAATAATTTGTCATAATATCTTAAATTATATATAATTTATATGTTTAAAAATATCTATTTATACACATTTTAAATATAGTCTATATATTTAAATATTTTATTTATTTACATGTATAAATTATTATAAAATTTACTTATATATAATAAATATTTAATCTATAAAATATATAAACTAAAATATTAATATAATAGTTATTTATATAATTTATTTTAAATTTTAGTTATATATAATAAATATTTAATTTATCCATTACACATGTGAAAATACCAGTAATATATTATACTAACATATACTCCCTCAATTATTGATCCAAATTATAATTTAAAAAAAAATATAATTTTTTTTTCATAAATATAAACAAATTTTCATCACATTTATCTGATTCAATGATATATTTTTATTTCTTTTGATATTTATAATAAAGGTGATTTAAGAAGAATATTATAATATAATAAGTAATTTATTTAATACGTGAAAAGAGAATAGAAATAGAGGCAATAGATAGATTTAGAGAGAGGGCACGTGAGGGTGAGAGGCGAAGATCATATTATTATTATTATTGCTTCGATTCGATTCTTCCCACCTCAGCGGAATCCAAAGGCAACAATTAACTACGTTGAAACCTTTACCTTTTAAATCCTAACCCTTCTCACTGTTACTCTCCGCCTCTCTCTTCTTCCAAAACCTCTTTCCCTCCCTCCGTTAGGGTTTTGCGGATCTCGATCTCTTCCAAATTCCAATGGACCTTCGCAAGCGTGGAAGGCCCGATTCCGCCGTTACCCTTAACGGCGCCGTTAAGAAGACCAAGCAAGGTTTCCACTCTCTCTCTCTTACATTTCCTCTACTCTCCATCCCTCCTTTTCTCTTCTCTTTTGCTTCGTCGTTTTGCTTCTGCTTCACCGTCGTTTTGTGCTTCCGCTCCCTACTTCCTCACTTGCATTCAACTCTCACGAGATTATGAAACGCAAACTTTCGGTGGTTTAATCTTTAATGTTCATAATGTTGCAACTGTTTAATTGTTAGCTCGAGGGGATAAATTTGCATAAAATTGCTCAAAAGTTTACATCGAACTTTACCTAATTAATCATTAATGTTATTATTACTCGTGAGTAAGATTTTTTTTTTTCTAGAAAAAAGTTGAAGGGTTTTAAATGGAGTGTACTAGATTAATAACGTAGAGAACTTTAACTGAGAGAAAGTAATTAATGTTTTGCGACAGAATTGGAGTCCTTATCAAGTGGTGTAGGAAGCAAATCGAAGCCATGTACCAAGTTTTTCAGGTTCTAATCTGTTCCCATCTAAATAAATATTTGAAGTTGCACATTTTCTAGCTTTAATGGTGTTATATTATAAGTTATTTTAAGAATTAATTGTTTTAATGCTGTAAAACTAATCTGCGAATTAACTCGGTATTCGAAGCTTTTATACAGGTACATACTGTTCTTTGGTCTAATCAAGTTGTAACAGAATAATGGTTTATTAATGGAGTTCAATAAAGATGATAACAATTTGCAGGACGACTGTTGGCATTGGGAACCAAACATTATATCAAAGATAAACTGATCATTTTCCTTTTCTGTGTTTGCTTTTCTCCATAATTAGTGTAATTTTTGTTGTTCATTTAGTTAGCAGCAGCTTTTCAGTTTTTACTGCGTTCCAAGTTTTTAAGTTGTAGTTTTGGTCGCAAATCCTTGATTTGTGGGAAATTGTGGACTTAAGCTGCTGAAATAGCCGCAATTGCGGTTGCACTTTCCCCATAACCTTGAAATTGTTGCGCAAACTTTTTTAAAATCTTGCTGTATTCTATGTTTATGAACACACCTTTCAATTGGTAAGCTATTAACAAACTAATATAATGAACTTATGTTGGTCGGGGGTTAGGTACTATGTCTAATTATGTTATGTACATTTAAGTTTAGTTGTTTTTATGTGTTTGGGTTGCTGTTTGCAAGGCACCAAATGTCTGTTCACGTGTTCCAAAGCACTAAAAGGAGAAGTAAATGTATTGGTGGATTGGTAAAAAACGTCTGTTACATTCAACCTAATGTTTTTCCTAAACTCGTGATTACATTTTTCATATGAGAATTATTTTGTGATCTAGACCATGAACTAGCCAATTGTCCCCAGTGCTATATGTTAAATTCGAGCCATATGAAAATTTTCATCAAGAATTAGTGGTGAATTTGATTGAGATGTTTATTGTTTTAAAGAACTCACGATATTTGTTCCTTTTATAATCTTCATTCCTTTTACTTGTTAGGGATTTTCTTGATCTTCTTAGTAGCATGGTGACTTCTTTGCATAAATATCCCATGTAAATGTATATTTTGTTTGATTCTTCTTACCTTTGATGGCCTGTCTGCTGTGTTCTTTTAATTTTCCATGATAATTATCATGGAAAATTACAAAAAAAAGTAATTTTTGGTAAAAGTATTTCCAGATTAGGAATAAGTAATAATCTAATTATTTATATAAAAAAAAACTAATTGTTTTGGCTCTCAATTGTGTTCAAATTTTGTTCAGTGAGCAACCTTATTGACTTAATTAACCACTTATGTGTATCATTGTTTGTAAGCTGGAAATAGTTTTTCTGAGAATTCCTTTGTAAGACATCCTAATTATTATTGATTCTATTGTTGCTTACTTCATAGAACATTTTGTACTTTGTCATATATATATATATATATTGAGGTGAGAGGAGGAAATATTTGCCATGCAACCATACAAGGATGTTTCACATTGTTTTAATCAGTTTTAATCTTAACAATCTATTTGAATTATACAGTTGAGATTTGCTCCTCTCACATTACTCGATATATATATATATATATATATATATTTTAAAGGAAATTTAGTGTTATTGAGATTGTATTCCAGCACATGCGATCATGCAATCTTCTGATGAAATTCCTCTCAATGAGCACTCTTAATAGCCAATTCTACGTCTAAACATTTTTTAATGGGATTAATGTAGAACTTGTGTTCGAGTGTGGAAATCTTACTGCATTAAATGATATTTGCATAATGAAACAGAAGCACAAACCTGGTTTTGTTAAGAACCCATGCCCCAATTATCAATTTTTTTCAGTGTCCATATGCATATCTAATTTATTCAATGAGAAGCATGAAAAGACAAACCTGGGATTTTGGTGGGTCGATGCTGTTTTTTTTTTCTTTCTCATGTTTGTTTTGTGCCATTGCCATGTTTTGGTGGTTCCGAGCAGTGGTCATTCTTACATTGCTACTATGCTTTGGTTCTGATTCTGCTCTTGGCTGTTCTGTGGTTTTTTTTTTTTTTTTTTGTATTTATATATATATATCTATATATATATATATATATATATGTTGAACTTCTGTTCTGCTTGTGCTATTACTCCCCCATATACCCAGGAGATTTTAGCACTTGACCAAGGAGGTGGGTGGAAATAGATGATTTGAATTCATGAGTAGGGGTGTGTAAGGTGCTAATTAGAAGGGTGCTACTTGGTGTTGGGTTGAGCAAACACAACTCTGTTACTGAGCATAATATTTGGCTGTGGATGTATCAAATGGAGAGTTCAAACTGCCTTTATAAGGAGTCTTTTACTACTATCTGAAGTAGGACTAATGTTTGGCCCAACCTTTGGCTTAAAAGCTATTTTAAAGTTAAAGCTCAAAATTAGAAATTTATAAATAAAGTAGAAGCTGTTCCAGTTTTAACTTGAAAGCTCATTTTAAACTGAATGGTTCATTTATTGTCCTACATTGATTGTTTTAGGATGAGTGGGAGGTTAAAGTATGTAGCTTATTTTTAAACTGAATATTAGTGAAAATTTTGGTTTCAATCCTGTGAAGTGACTTATAGGAAAGAGTGCATTTCT